GACCTGCCCACACACACACACATTCTTCCACACCTACACACACACACATCTGCATGTACGCACATACACACACACACACACACCCACAATATTGTGTTACTGTCCAATTCCAAGAGACAGGTGTTGACCTGCCCACCTTAACCCAAACACACACACACACACATACAAATGAAAAAGTCAGCAACATTGACATGACACCATCGTTGTATTGATTCTCTAGCGCATTCTTTCACAATAACACACACATACACACACACACACTATGTGACCGTATTATTTCCAATAGCCAGATGTTGACACACACACACCTCCATCAAATTCTCCTCCCACAGCAGCAGGTAAGCAGCCGTCTTCCTCCAGCAGCCGCTCTGTCACAGCTGGACCTCTGGAGTGTTTAATCCAGGGACACAAGCCAAACACAGATCGTGTGTGTGTGTGTGTGTGTGTGTGTGTGTGTGTGTGTGTACTCGCTGGTGTTACATTTCGTGATCAGAAGCAGATGCTCTCAGACTGTCACACAGCACAGATAAGAAAAATCCTCTGAAATGAAAAGAAGTTTGAGGGATTTTTCTGTTTTTACAGCTGTGAGATTTGACGGGTTCTCAGAGTTATCGCTGCACTTTACAGGATTGGTGAAAATATGATCCTTCAACGTAAGAAAGAATCTAATCCCATCACACTCATCTTATTCGTGTGAAATAAATTAAGTCTCATCTACAGAGATACATAAAAAATACAATGATCTTTGTGTACTTTGGAGTAAACAACATTTATATCGGTTTTTTTTAATGAAATGAATATTGATAGTTAAAGGGACAGTCCTGACATTTGGGGAAACATTAGTTAGCATGTACCTGCTATAAACACAGTTGGTATAAAAAGCTTAGTGTAAGTTCAGTCTAGTTTTCTTCGCTCAAATACTTTATACACACAGGGTTTCTCCGAAGGTCCCATGACGTCATTGCTCTGACTTTGATGTGTTCATGTGCTTTGAAAAAAAAAAAAAAAATGCACGCTGTGAACAAACTGTGGTGAATTCATGTATTTAAACAAAATCTTGACGCCTCTCTCTAATATTTGCAGAACGTGCACATTGTCAAGTTCACGCAAGAAGCTTCTATTTTAGTTCTAGGTGTAAAGTGATGTTAATTGGTTTAGAAGTGACGATGACAGCAACTCCTGCTCCAAAATATTCACAGACTTTCCGAGTTGTTATTTCGACTGGAGGTGTCCCAGTTTGGAACTTGTTTTTGACACAGTGATTCCAAACGGACGTCGCAGACGTGGCCAGAGTTTTGAGTTTGTCTCAGTCTTTAGTTTCGTGTCTTGATGATGTTCATTTTGTAAACGATGGTCCCATGTAGAGTCAGATAGACGATGCAGTGTCGGCTCTCGGTCAGGCTCCACCCCCTGCTCCTCCAAATATGGTTACTTCTGGTTCCAAGATGGCGTCGAACAAAACGCCACACTCGAGGCCTTAAAACAGCAGCTCACAAACCAGTGGGTGGCGTCACGGTGGGCTGAGACTTCTTCGTACTGGGGACGTTTTTCAAATATAAACAGTATCTCCCAGACTGTCACAGCTTTCGTAAGGTTCAGGTTTGGTAACGCGCCCTCTCAGTTGTGAATATGCAAAAGCGCTTTCCTGTTTGACGTGGTGTTAATTACGCGGCTGTTTTTGTGTGTGTGTGTTAATGTGCCTTATTTAAGCGTTGTTAGCATTTGTGTGTTTTCATGTCAGACATATTTTGAACAGCGCCATCTGCTTCTACTCCCCCTCCCCCTCTCTGTTCGAGTATTTAACGCTCAGCCAGTTTTTCCTCAGAGACAACTTAGCCGACACATCCATGATGAGAGGGAGAATTAGCAGCCAATTACAGTCAGACTCTGCTTTGGATGTGGAGCTTGAAGGTTACGCTGCACAAAGTTTAATGCTTTGTTTAACTGCAATAAAAAAAAAAAGAAGAAGAGAGGTGTGCGTAAGATAATTACTTCTGTCTCCTCTTCCTCACCTTTCCCTCCTCCTCTTTGCTCAGGTTTTCCCCCTTGTTGTTACTCTCGTCGGTTTCAAACACCCGTTTTTTTTCTCAAGTCTATATAAAGCAACAGCGATTCAACAAAACACCCTCATCATGACGGCTTTTCTGCTCCGAGTTTGGGATTATCTCACATCAGGGAAACCTTTGCTCTGAGCGCTGGAAATCTGCAAATGGTCTCGTTGCAACTGACAAAAGAAGTGAGAGGAGCGAACAGATGGAGTTCGATTTGCTCAGTGAGAACTAACGTTGTCGGTTATTTCCAGAGCTGCGTCTGCGTTAGTGAAGTCATGAGAGGGCAGACTCGTCAGGATCATCACGGGTCTCTGGGTGATTGTTGCCACTGGTGGTTCATATTCAAGGTGTGATTTTTACATCAAACCCAAGCAAATGGATTAATTACATTTCAACATAATCGTCAAGATATATGGACAAGAAAAAAAGAAGAGGGTGAATTGAGTTGAAGATATTTTACTCAAAACCCCAAATAAAGTTTCAAAGAAATAAATTCCGTTGTTTTTGCATAATCTTGCTTACGAACAAACGGAAACACAGACGAAAGCATAGGCTCCTTGCCGGAGGTAATTATAGAGCGATAGGAAGCAGTAGAGTGACCGACTGATTTTGTTCGTCTTTCCTCAGGTCGTGGGATGAGTTCCATGACTGTGCTAACGTGGCGATGGCCGGCTGTCCAGAGGAAGCGGCGGCCATCTGGGAGTCTCTCCGCCAGGAATCCAAAAAGATGCAGTTCTCCGGAAACCTCTACGACATGTGCTCCAACCGAAACAGCTACCCGGTCTCCTCTCACGGTTCGTCCGACCAGGAGGAGATCAACCAGGAGTCTCTACGAGGACGCGCCGATCTTTTGGCAGCCCGCCGCCACTTCCTCGTGCTACTCTCTCCTCTGCTGCTCTTGTTCTTTTGGATATAACCAACTCAAAGAAGCGGGACTGATGTGAATAGATGTAAACTTTGTGTTATTTTTCTCCCTCCACGAGTCCATAGACTTTTCACCGTTTCTTCCTCTGCTCTGCCAGAGGGTGAAAACTTCTAACTGCATGTTCAGAGGCCTGACAGTCCTTTTGATAATGTATCTTTAAACTGCCTGTGCTGTTTCATGCATATTCTCTGCCTTTAAATTAGTCTCTCTGTTTGAAGTTCACACAAAATTCATACAGAGCTACACAGCCACTGTACAAACAGGCCTGCAAACACATGCATAGTTAAACAGATGCAAACAGCAGCCTCATGTCATCTGTCCTCATCTCCTCGGCCCCGACATCTACTCAGTGGGAGCTTTACATGATGGTTCCAGCAGGAAACAGTCACAGATTTAATCACGTTAGACTTCATGGACCTGAAAAGGATCAAGAGGTCATATCTCAAGAATAGCTCCAGCGAAACATTTACTTTTATCTTGAACTCATTGATAAACGGTAAATCTAACCTACTTGCCTTGTTTGATCATTATAGTTCGACTCTGTGGAAGCTGAGTCTCCTATTGATTAACTTATTTCCTTCATTTTCCTCTCTGGTCTGTGAGAGCCGCCTCTGTCAAAGCTCCCGTTTCCAGAAAAAATCTATATAACAGAATGTGCGTTAATGCACATCAGCTATGTGCATGACGGGAGGTAGATTCTCGAGATTTGTGGCAGCAATTTCCCAGTCAGGTGCCATTAATCCATTGCAGAGAAAGAGGGTGCATGAGTCACGTAATTTATCTGAAATGTATGAAATCATTAACATTTATTTCATTTATTAATTTGAAGAGCTCATTTTTTGCGGAAACATTTTGGCTCTTCGGTGGATTTTTTTAGGCCACAAATCTTCATAGGAATGTGTCGGATTTTCTTCCAACACAAACCTTTGCTGACAGACTTAACACTCCAGTCGTGTCTCAAATCAGGGGCTGCATCCTTCAGAGGTCGCATTTGCAGACTGATTGTGTCACAGTGGTGCCGCTAGATTGTCCCAATCTGAAGGTTCCTCCAAATGCAGTAGTTAATGGGCTTGTGTGTGACATCTCGGCCAAAAAAGATATTGTGTGTTCAAACTGTAGTGGAGTGTTTTTCTAAATGTACGATATCTTAGCTAATGCACACAGAGAACCCGAATTTGACTTTGGATTTAAATGATTTCATAAAGTACAGTTGTCTTTGAGAAACATCATCTGAGTAAAATGAAAAACTTAAGTCATCAAAACATCAACAATAGCTCCTGCAGTTTGGTTTCATACTGAACAAAAGAAGCGCGTCACCACAGGCGTGAAGTTGAGATGTGACTTGTAGTAGGTGTATTATTAAAAATTTTAATTTAACAATGAGCGTTGTGTAAACTGTGGAAGATTTATTATTTGCAGAGGAAAAAAATACCTGGCAGCTTCCTCTGCAGCTGCTGCAGCGACATGAGTTCTGGGCTGAATTTGAAGGGGAGTCAGAGCTTTGGCTGTTTTTATTTGGTGCTTGCTCAGGTATGAAATCCTCCAGGGCTCCTCCTTGGCATCCTGCACGGTAGCCATACAATATGGGACCAATATGTTCTCCGGGCCGAATCACCGTCCTCACGCACGCCAAGTGTATTTCGTGCTCCATGAGTCGCAGTTCGGCCTCCGCAGGCTCGCTCACTCTGCTTGTTATTCTACGTGGCTGCAGGTAACAGTTGTTTCAGTCTGGCCCAGGATCAGAATACTATCAGATCAGAGAGACGGAGATGGAGAGCGAGATGAGTGCACCTGGAAAAAGAACGGCGTTCTGCCTAGTTGAAGATTGAATCCACCTGTCTTAGCAGTGTGTTTTACACCAGGGGCTTTAGGTTGTAGGTTTTTTGTACTTCACAGAAAAAATTAATCAAACTTGGGGCCGACTTTAAAGACTCACACTTGACTGTGAAGAAGCACAAAACGAAATCCTCAAAGGCTGCAACAGTGCGCTGACTTTAGGAGGGATGGAAATAAAACAACATTGATTAGACTTGAGATTCAAAGAGTCATGTTTCAGCTGCAGAACTGCAGGAGCTGAAATAAATGATGAGGTACAGGAAGCACGTTTGACAGTTGCTTACATTATTTCTCATATTTGGTTTGGGACGTCAGTGTCAAAAACCTTTCTTATTCTCTCCACATAGAATCCTGCAGATAGATAAATAAATAAACTCATTTTAAAGCAACACTACACGCAAGTTACATAGTGTTGCTTTAAGTTGAATGAATGTGGAGAATAAACCCTGAAGCTGCAGGAGAATAATGACAGAAAACACTGTGAGTAAAATATGTGTGCAGGTTTAAAGGTCCTGAGCAGAAATAAAGAGCAGGAAAAAGCTTCAGTCAGCTGCAGCAATTTATTTATTATTTTTTTACATGAGGGGCATCTCCCAGGACATGCTCGGATGGTTTAAAGAGGCTGCTGTAGTTTTTTTAACTTTAATTAAACTGGCAGAATTAGCAATTAGAGGCCTCAGCTGCTGATTCACCGAGTTACAGCGATTTGAAAACCATCTCCACGGAGCTCGGATAATGTGTCGTCACTGGAGGCTTCATCTGCGTACGTCATGCGCGTGAGGCTGCGGAGACAAATCAGTCTGGATGTGTTTGTGTAAATCCAGGCCTGTCGAGAGTTTGCTCATCACAACCCCACCACACATTGTTTTATAGGAATATAACTCACTCAGATTAGATTCTAAAGTCTGCTTTGTGCAGAGGTGATGTCTTCACTGTGGTTGGGAAAAAAACCTGTGAAATTGCTGTTATGAGAAGATATGTTTTATGTAAGCTAGGTGGACAAATCTGATTTCAGAGAAGGTTTTCAATAACGCAGCAGTGGAAATGCAACGTTATTGACCAGAGCAGAGTGGAGTATTATTCTCCAGCGCCACATTTGAGACTGAACATCTCTTTGCCTCCAGCAACAACTCTGTGCTCCGACAAATTGGTTAAATTGGACGGAAAGGACTGCAGGAGAAAGAGAAAGAGTGTGAGGCACCAGTACGTCATTGTCACATTAATGGTGCAGAGCAGTTGGTCTTATTACTATGAAGGAATAACACTGCAATGACTGGTAGAGTTTTTATTAGATATCATAATGCATGAAGTGTTACATGCAACAAGATTGTCCCCCTTCCAATCACTCTATTCCCCTTTTCTCTGCTGAAGAGGATTTTTAATCTGTTGACAAATATTCCAATTATGGAGAGAAAACTGGTCGAGAGGGGATCCAATCATCGGGTGAGGAGCCCAGAAGTCCCAGTTTTCCAGCAGCACTTAAGCACAGCATGCATTTATACATTTTTTTTATTGTGACCATTCTCTCTCTAGATAAGATGCCTGAAATCCACATGCGTCAAAATTCAAATACTTCGAAATCGTGTTTAGGAGTCAATGCAACATTTTGGGGGAAACATTTCGAACCTTCGTGATAAACAACCTGACTCAAGCTACGTTAGCACCAGAGACATTAATCACCCAACTTCTCATCCATCTCTGGAAAAGAAAGCTGTTAAGGTTTTAAACACAGAGGTCGAACCAGCCCGTAGACTGTGATACGAGATGAGCTCTAAAGATGGACGACAAGTGTCTTCCTCGTATTATCTAGACGAGAAGCCAGAATATCCTGGATGCTGGAGCTGCCATCTTGCAACGATGACGTCATTTGAAGTCAAGTGGTGATCGTGGTGTGAACCCACAGAACCGAGGTCCCACGTGTACGTTATGTTTCTCATAGCATCGAACAGAAACTTGAACATTTGAAGTGTGAAAAAAAACTACCTAAAATGAGATGAACCATCTTCGAGAAATATTTATTTAACGCGTACTTTGACTTTTTTGTTTGGTCCGTGCCGCCTACGCTAACGTGGAGGAGGCAGGGTTTATGACCGCCGCTGTTGCCACCCTCCATGGGGCGATCGAGACTTTATTTTTGTGGAGCTGCCATGTTGTCCATCTTTATGTAAAGTCTACGGTGTAGGCGCAGCAACAATCATTCAGCTGCCTGAATCTGTTCGTCTGTGAATAATCACAAAACTCTCCAGCTGAGCTGCGCTGGAGTAACTGTAGAGTTTCAGTAAACACGAGTGGTGCTGCGGAGAACGTGGCCGATAGCAACGGGACAAATGTTTGACATGTTGACCCGAGGTACAAGACGAGCAGCGAGGATCAGACTCGAGAGTACCGCCTCCATGTACTCGCCTCCAGCAAGACGCTGCAAGCACAACTGTGTTTTTAGACTCAAAGTTCAACCCCCCGTTTTAATTTCTCATGAGACAATAGAGAAATTACTAGAGACTGAAAACTCAGGAAAATAAAGTACAAGTACAAGATAAGTACAGCTCTGACCTACAGTATATACATCACAGATAATGCAGTTTGTGAAGATTGAGGAGGGCGATTATAGGAAATGATTCCACTTGCTCCCTTTTAATCTCACATTTATTACCTATTTAGAGGAAGAATATTAGTATTCAAATGAATCTAAATTCCTCCTTGCTTCAACACACACACACACACACACACACACACACACTTTCACTGCTCAATAAACGGAAACTTATGGAGCGTCCATGTTTTACGACAGGAAACGCACAGATTGACTGAGAGTCGTTGCATCACTGTGTATAGTGTGAATAATTACAGCTCTATGAATATCACTGTATATAGAAGTATTTCACGTGTGTATAGACATATATACCCTGCAAGTGCTACTTTTACAGCTTTAACATTTTATATTAGTTTTGCTTCACGCCTTTTCCACATTATTCCTATCCTCGCGTCTGGTCATTTCTTTCTATTGTCTCGAAGTTTAATCTGGATAATGCGATCAAACTTCTCCTGAAGAGGAACACGACGATCTGCAGAACTTGACCCAGTGTCCCGGAATCAGAGGCCAGTCAGATCTGATATTCTGCCCAAATAATCCTGTGTGTGAGGGGTTTACGAAATGTCCACATAAATAATCTTAGTGCCATCAATTGTGTGGGATCCTCCTCAATCTCGAATCATAAACATGTTCGATATTTACGATTATCGGCTTCAACAGAATACTGAGCAAACCGGCAGTTACCAATGAGAGCGATCTGATCAGGAAGCTCACCTCCAGTTCCCACTGGAACTCATTGGCTGCCACTTGAAAAGTTTCCTCCACTTCTTCTTCGGCACGCAGCACAAGCAAGGCGAGGCAATGGAACCACAGTGTAGTTCAGAAGTGAATGACGTCACTTAGCTCATTCAAACTGAGTTAACAGCGTTTCCAGCGTGTGTTACATGACTCACACGCAGCATCACGGGGCTCGGGATAATGTGGACAGGTCAGTAGAATGCTGGTTAAAATGACTTGTCCAACAGTTTTCCACCTTCAATCAAATGCACAACAAACTGTAAAAATAAAGGAGATAAATACAAATGGAGATATTCAACTACATTGTGATGGATTTGTGTCCTTGAGGTTGTAAGTGTTTGTGAGACACATCAAACAACTCACATTTCTTGTAGAATTGATCTTTTATCCACGAGTCACACACGCTTCATTGTTTCCGATTCAACTGCTCTTCTCAGACGCTTTTCCAACAATTTGGATTTATTTACCTTTGTCGTGTGTTGGAATTAGAGCAGCAGGAGCTAAAGTCCGTGTGCATGTATGATTTTTGTGACATTTGTATTAACGAACCGATGTGAAACCAGGAGATCCAGACACGTGGGATCGTGGACGCGGGATGGACTCTCCCAAAGATGAAAATGTGGAAACTGTGCAGATACGCATCATGTCGCTTCGCTTCTCTGTGGACAGGAATGAGCAGCTCTGTGTTGTGCGTTACTCCACACACCCAGGAGTCGGTTCGGGTGTTGTAGACGCAGTGTTTTCTGCTCTCAGAAAGAACTGAAGATTTCATTTGATGTCTAGTTATGTGTCCATGTCTCATCTGTATTCCTCTTCCTCCATTTTCTTTCTTCCACCTCCGCGTCCTGTCTCTCTGCTTCTCTTTCAGGTATTTTCTCTGTCCCTCCCTCTCGTGCTTGTATCCATCCATACGTAGTGGGTTTTGCTAACTTTATAGAAAATCATTAAATCGGTGCTGACTGACTGACTAATTGAGTGTGTGGGTATTGCTCTGTAATATTTAAATTAATCTCCGTGGGTAGGGAGGTACGTGCTCGGGGTGAAAACAAGGTTACTTGCACTGCAAGGAAGGAAGAAAAAAACATGTCATCACATAAAGTGTTCAAAGGAGAATAAAAATGTGAGATTATGTACTTGGCTAATGGAAGTTGAAACTCTGGTAAAGGTTGCATGTTCTCCAAAGCAGCCGGAGTGCTTCGTGACCGGGGCTTACGAGCACTAGTCGGAGTGTAATATTAAGTTTTTAAGTATTTTGACCGAGCGCCTGCAACAGACGTCACTCGCAGCTTTGAAACGAGCCCATGACATCTAGAGCTCTTCAGCGTGAACACAGGGCCGAGTGCGGAAGTTCACCGATGAGCAAACTTCTGAAAGAAAGTCAACACTGCAGGGCAAGGACCAATTTGTAAGCACACTGTGTGTTTTCATCAGAACCACGGCAATAATTCTAATTAAAAATATGTTTAAGTCAGCGAGAGAACCACTCTTATGTTATTAGTGCTGCATTTATAAATTCACTATGAGGACAGTGATGTGTTTTTGAACATTAGCGCCTTTTACAGCACAAATTACAATAATCAACCTGAATTTGAGCAGAAGGTCAAACATAAATTCAGTTTATTAAAACTCCAGTTTTGTAGCTTTTCCATTGGTCCTATTCTGGTGATAGAAATTCTATATTTAACAAAGATCTGGAAATATGGTGTCAGTTCAACATGCTAAGAAACACAAGCAAACATTTTTTTGATTTTCATTTCAAATAAAGTCCCTGACATAATCCAGCTAAACTCTTTCATTGTAGCAGCGTTCCAATGGATTTTCATGTCCATTCATTCCCTCTCAAGTTTCTTCCTTTAATATATTTTCAGTTTTTTGAAACAAAGCAGAATAAGGTGGAATAGTTTTCAC